CCTCTCTGAAGTTTGCAAACATTCCCCCAGCCCGTGTGAGGCGAATTTTTTTCCTTCTCGTTTTGCAGCCACAGAACACAAATTAATGCTGCTGTGAAACCCTTCCCTGCCTGTGTCCCCACGTTTAACCCTCATTACCCCACCAGGGCTGCCTGGGGGAGCAGCTTTCCAACATAACTGTTGGGGATCTGCTATTTCTTTAGGCTTTTCACCCATTTTCCAGTCACTGGCTGATGTTTTTCCTCTCCTTTTTGCCCGTTTCAAGTTTCCACTCCGACACCAAACGCTTTCCCCTTTTCCTACCGCTGTTAACACGAGGCAGATCAAACAGACACAAAAGTGTTTTCTCACAAAATAATCATTAAGCAGATCATGGAGTTTAGTTCCAGTGACAGCTGAATATTTGTTTCATTAATAAGTCATTTGCAATTAATTCCTGGAGTCATTTCTAAAAGAACATTGTGATGTTTCCATGGTTTTAAAGTGGCAAGACACGAGTCATTCTTTGACAAAATTTCTGTACAGAGTGCTCGTAGGCATCCACTGGAAAAATCCAGCCCCCAAGGAGGAGTGTTCCTGTGAGGTGGGAACGTGGCTCCCATTAGTGGGGAGGCACCTCCACACAATATGCAAATAACTGCAGCATTTAGGGGTTGAATTTTAGGTGCATTGGTGCTTGTGCTGCTCCATTCAAGTTATTTGTATGCAAATTATTATATTAAGGGTTGGGTTTTTTTCCATTTAAGGCTCATAAACAACCCTCCTCTATGCTGGAAAAATAACAAAATCTTCAATACAAATGGTTCAATTTATCTCTTTTCAGTCAAAGAGCTGGATGAATAAATGATTGCTATCCTGCCACCTAAAAGCAAAGATGCTCCAGCTCACAAAGGTTCCCGAGGCTCTAAAAATCACACCAGGAATTAAGCACCATCCTGCCACTGGCTGAGCACCTTTCCCTGGAGATCCAAGAGTCTCCATCCTCAAGCCTACCAAGGTCACCTTCTGCTTGGGATGGAATAGGCACCGTTTGCCCTGGTGTTTTATTAAGAATTAAGTAACAATTTACCACCTTTCAACAGTGTTCTTTCTAACCTTACAAACTGGCACAATTTGGGAATAACCAACACAGGAAAGCATCTCTAACCCTGGGCACCACTCCCACTCCAAGTCCCAAGTCCTGATGTGTGCCCAGCAAAGATTAAGGACATTTCTAAGCTATAGGAACAATTCCAATTGTTGCCATATCACCTTCTCAATAACCTTGCCCCAAAATGACAGGTTCCAGAGTTGCCTGTAATCATTAATTGCCTGGAGGAGAAGCACATCACCAAAGCAACAAACCTCTAATCAAGGGAGTGGGAGCAGAGCAGAAGAGCAAAATAACTCTTTAACAAGCAAGTTGCAAGAGGGTGGTTTTTTTTTGTTTGTTTTTTGTGTTTTTTTTTAAATCAAAATCTTCTTTGGCACAAAATTAAAACGCTGGAAAAAGTGAACATCATAAATTTCTGCCTACTTGGGAACATAATTTGCTGGAATGACACTTTTAGAGGGAAGTGCTTACAGGTTTTCATATTCAGCAGCAAGAGGAGTAATTATATTAATGAACTGACACAGCTCTGAAGTGACACAACAGAGAGCTGGTAAAAAAAATTGTCAAATGTTTAGTTTTCAATTTAAAATGAAGACAAAATATTTTTTTATAACTTAAAAATGCTCAATTTCACGCTATTCTAATAGAGATGACTAGATAGTTAAATTGAGGTCTGGAAAGCAAAGTTCTAGACATGCTTATAACAATCTTCAAATCAAGAGTTTTTCAATTTATCAGAAAAATAAGGTTAAATATAGTCTTTTAAATGTGACAGCAATATCATAACTTAACAAGCAAAAAATAAATAAAAATAAAAAAATTTTAAAAATAAAGTTGGGTAGGAGAATCTATAAATTATCTTGTAAGAAAAAATAGAACTAATCACCTACTTTGCACCTTCCATCAATACACTGTGAGTTACACAACTATTTCTACAAGATAGGAGATAGGACTTGAATGCAATTTGCAACCCATTGGTTTGATCCAGTTTCCACTTAAGTAAATGAAAAGATTACCATTAAATTCAGTGAAAGCTGGATTAGACTCTGTTAACATTCACAGTGGGGAAAAAAAACAGAACAACTTAATGATTATTTATGCCAGAAATTCCAGTGTAAAAAGCAAAATGGGTGCAAATGTGTTGAAGAATTTGAAGAGAAAAATGAGCACAGTTGATATAAAATATGACTCCACTAAAAATTAGAGGATTACTAATTACTCTGAATGCGCTTATAGAGGAGCTATAGATGTAATTTAATGGCACAAATATACTTTGAAATCCAATTATAGCAACAGAGCAGTGATTATAGAGTTGCATGAAGAGTTAAAATAAAATATGATACCAGATAAATGGGTATATTAGAAAGGCACTATTAGATTTTCTTGCATTTATCCACTGACTGCCACCAGGCCTCTGAGCCAGGGACAAGGAGGAGGGAAAAAAATAGAGGAGAAAGATTGAGTTTTCTTGCTAAATATAGTCAAAACCAACAGAGATATTTCTACTAAAAAAGATAAAAATTTAGAGACACCAGCTACCAATACATGATCTGTACAACAAATCAAAATACTGAGTCTTATTCACAGTCCTGCTGTTCCAGATTCTCAACTTTTGTAAGCACTAAACGGGAAAAGAAGGAAAACTTGAAAAGGATTTACTGCAGAAAGTTGAAAGATCTCAGAGAAAACACAATATACCAATAAAAGGCCAATTATTGCACCCATCAATATCCAGCAGTGGGCTATCAGGGAAAAGATATGCAGATTCCATTAGGAAAAAATACAGCCATGTCTGTCCTCTGGCATAACAACATTACTTATAAATGGGAAAAGGGACCCTCACTTTATTTGTAGGTTTAAATAATAATTTGATGATACTTCACCCATTATGTCAAGAAATGAACATTTAGAGGAACCAAATAAATGTCCCTTTCGGATTTAAACCTAAAATAAGTCACTTCTTGCTCTGCTTTCTCTTGTATTTGAAATTCACATTGACTTAAAACATATATATATTTACAGCAGACACCAGGTTTGCCAACTTTTGAAACCCAAGGGAAATATTCACCAGTTACCAGAAACTTGGTTAAATCTCTTCCAACCTTACCTGGTTTTAACATTCAAACTTAAGCCTGGCACAGCTTGCAAGAGCTTTTTGTGAGAATTCCTCTCTGGTGAATTGGGAAATGCTTCTTTGGGAGGTTCCCCATCAATAAACACCTGTATTTAGCCCTATTTAGCAGTTTGTCCCTATTTTCCAATCACAGGCAGAGGGTTGGTTAAGGTTTCAATTTACAAGGTCACAGAAACTCCTCCTCAGGTAGAAGCTGGGTTATTAGCATAATTAAAAAGGGGGGGAAGAATGAAAATAACCCCCAAAACCCATCTTTTATTCTGCTTTTGCTGCAGTACCACAAAGACAAACAGAAACATTCACATGCTCAGCTCTGCCTTGGCCAAGCAAATCTCATAAATGTCTGAATTTCCCATTATGGCCATGATTTCTAGAGGGAGATGAAATCTTTACCTCTCTCTAAATTGATGGGAGTCTCCCTCCTCCCTTCAAATGCCAGAATATGGAAGTAGAAGACTCTCCCTCTGAAGGCTGTATTTTATAATACTCTGATGAGATGCCTTTTGATTTAGGGTTGGCATGAAGGGAGAAAAAAAACCCCGTCGTAGTCTGCCAGCTCATCTAACCCAACTTTAATCACTGACTGTGGAGACAGCTCTATCTGAGCCAGTCATCTAAAATCCCTTTAAAGTCAATGGGGAGAAATAGATGTTTTTAGGATGCAATTAATTGATTGGAAGGAAGAGGGATCTATCACATATGGAAAAGAATTATGGCCCAGAGGGTTCTGCTTTTCCTCATTTACTGCAGAGGAGTTCACGCATCTGCATTTTCACAGTCATCCAGGACAGGTGAGAAGAATGTCCCCCAGTCACTATTAACAAATATCTCTTGTTTTGGGGTTTTTTTAATCTGTTTTCCTGTTTCTTTTCCCTTCTGTTCCTACACTGAGTCTCTCCCAGGACATCAGTTCAATTTTTGCATTAGAAGCCCATTAACCCCTCAAGGAACTGGCTTCATCCATCTGATGCTAATGAAAACTTTTGGATCTTACCTGAGTGCTCACCTGGGCCAGAAGAACAGATCCATCAGGTTTAAAAAACACATTAATGGATAGTTAAGTGTCAATTGTCACAAAAATATTCAGAATAAGACAGATAACAAAACAACTTCCTACGGCTGTACCGCTCTCCCAAGGACCTATGGGCCCTTCAGCTCCCAGGGCTCTACATCGTGTCCCAAATGTACCAGAAAATGATGATTACACACAGTCTGAGGGGCTGGGGTGATGATTTTCATGGAAACAAAGAAAAATATTCCCTCTCCAGAAGACATGGCATGTCTGTCCCCTTGAACACAGCAACCGTAAGGGGGAGGAAAACTGATAACTATAGATTTGCCTTCATCAGTGAGATCCAAAGAAGTCAAGTTGAAATAAGTTTGGCCAGCCTTGAACACTGCAGAGCCCCCCAAAAAAACCCCTTTCTTTTCCCTGCTCTGCCACCCAAGGCACAGCCCTGTGCAGTTTTGTTCTGCTCTCACAAGCGGGGGAACCTATTTCCTCTCGCCCACCAAAGAGCCACCATTGTGCTGGAGGACTTTGAGGAATCTGCTGCTCACCCTGACATAAGGGAGTAGGTTTTGTTTCATGTTTGCCTTGTGCTGGGACATTCATCTTCAAAGGGCCCCGCACGCAACCGGGGAGCCTCTGAAGCGGATCAGGGGCAATTCAAAGAGCGGTGCACGGAGCAGGAGGGGGCTCCCGTTCAAAGCTGCAGCCTCGAATCTGCCACAGAAGAGCAGATTCAAACCCAGAGAGGTCACTTCACCTACCTGCAGTGGGATCTCATATTCAGAAGACTCCAGCTAAAAATAAGGGGTATTTAGGCAGTGTGATGAGTGAAAGCCTCGAGCGATGCTCTTCCTCTCTCTCCCTCGCACACAGACACGGGCAGAGCAAGGGCTCCTTCAGAAAAAAAAAAAAACCAAACCAAAACTGTAGGAGACATAACGGCCTCCAGAAAACTTACTCACAGATCAGCTCCATCTGTAGCATCCTCCTGGTCTGAGCACAAAAGTTTCCAACGAGCTGGAGCGCCGCAGACCTCTGTCCAAACTGCCTGGAAGGAGGAAACCGCCATCAGCAGTTGCTCAACACATGATAGAGTGGTAAAAACACTGATTTCTTTCAATTACCCAGGTTAATGCAATCTAGAGGTAATACTCTGCTTGGCTCAGAAATTACCTGTTCTCTTGTCAGACCTGGGAGGCCTTGGACAACAAAAGCATTCTGCTTGGATGGGCACTGTCTAAACACAGAGTGATACAGTGCTGCTTGCCCCAGAATTTATCCTTTACACAGGAAATACGGAAAGGTGCAGAGGTAAATACTCTTCAATTTATACGCGGAGAACTGAGACAAGGGGAGATGCAGGTTCACGTACAAGCAGATCTACAGATGTTTAATATCTTTGATGAGGTAAAGAAAATCAGAAAAGGATTTTTAAGAGAAGCAGAGGCATAATAGTCTTGCAGATTATCTGCAGAGCTTTTGTATCAGGCACCTGATGTCTTTTAAAAACAATTTAGATTAAATCCTTGTAATACCTGATTTTTTGTAAAATGTATCAGCTCTGCATCTGCAAGGGAGTCTCATTTTGATACTGGAAGAGGGCAGTTGCGTTCCTGGGACTTGATCCCTTTTCCCTGGGTCAGCAGAGTTTCTCCCTGCTCCCACTGCCAGCACACCCTCGATGTGGCCACTTCCCTCCTCCTTCAAACATCCACTGTCACAGATACAAATCTCTGTACACAGTTTCTACCTCCTGTATCAGTTCTTCAGTCTCAACTGTCTTCAAGGACTTTATTTTTCTTATGTTTTTTTTTAAATACTAGATTAAAATGCACAAGATCCTGCCTTGCTTTGTCAGACTCCCCTGATTAATATTATATTTTTATTAAAAGCTGTAAAGCCTTTGGGCCAGTCTGTGCCTGAGTGGCAGTTCACAGGTACAGTTGCATTACTCCCCATAACATTATTATTTTGGTTTTTTTACTAGAAGTACCTGGGTTTCTTTTTCTTTTAACCTCAATTTAAACATCCCCTCCATTGCCGTGCTCATTTTGCTGCAGTGCTGACTGAGGTGTTTCAGGTTCATGGTGCTCCCTCCAAATTTGCTTTATAACAGCAGGCCAAGAGGGATCAAAACTTTATATCTGATTCCACTTCTTATGTGACATTTGTGGCTTTCCCCCATTTTAATATTTAGCAAATATTTTATTCCTTTAAAGCACTTTATCAAATATTCTGGGATGGGGGAGATAATGCTAAAATTTAATTTAATTGTAAAATTCTTCTTGTGCTGCATAAACACAGGTACAGCCTCATTTGGACAAGGCATCTCCCAAGAAGAGCCAAGCATTTTGAGACCCTTCCATACAGGGCAGCTGGAACACACACTGTGCTGTACAACCTGCTCTCAGATGGTTTCAAACCCTGTTTTTGCACTGTGGTTCCTTCTGCCCACATTTTATTCTCCCTTCTGCCTCCCTGGCAGTGACCTCACCTGGAGCAAGAGGCTGCAAGGCCCTGTAGCTCTTCACAGAAGGAGCAATTGGTTCGCTCCCCAAATGTTTCCCAGGTTGTAAAACAGCATAAAAGTACAAATGAAGAGCCTCATGATATTTTTCTTCCTGCTGTGTGCAATCAAGCCAGAAAGTATCCCTGACTCCCCCAGAACCTGCAAATTACCTCGGCACACCTGACCCACCAGCAGCAACACAACATTAGGACTATTTTCCCCTACTGATTCTTCTCCTGCTGAGCTCCTCCACGGGTCTGGGATGCTCCCTGCTTCCACAGCGCCTGGTTTGAAACAAAAAAACAAACCAAAACGTGAGTGAAATGCTAAACTTTTGCCAGCAAAATATGGGAATTATTTCCAAAGAACTTCACATCACTTTACATATTGCACAATTGACCCCCACGTATCTGCAAGGTCTGAAACCGAAATAGATTCAGCACGGCCAAGAAATAATCACGGAGAGCATTTTGGATTCAGCCAAGGATGAAGTCAGGCACTCTATTTTCAACCCAGCAAGCTGAGGCCACTGTTCACCACGTTCAACTGCAGCAGTTTAAAGAGCCTTGCTGGAAAAGGATTAAAAAGTACAAAGGTAAAACAAACAGCGTCGCTGCAGCGTCCAGTAGGATGAAACAACTCCCTGACATGGCAGGTATGATTACAGAAATGTTAAAAAAAAATAAGAAGGGAAGGAGGAATGGAAGGAGGGATTTCATGGAGCTTGACCAGGCTCGCTGCGACGGTGACGTAAAGCCGGGGCACTGCAGCACACACAGTTTGGAATTCAGCCCCCACATCCCCCGTGTCACTGCCAGCACTCACATCTGAACTGCCTATTTCTGTATTTCCTCTTTGCCTCTAGCCAGGGAATTCCATTATTTCACCAATGCAAAGCTTTAGATAATGTTGTGCCTCTTCCAGTTGTGTCTCTCCTGCCCCAGATCATTGCAAACTATTTACTCCACTTCTCTCCACATTTTCATTCCCAGGATCTGCTCCATTCAGCTCCATGTTCCTTAAAAGTTTGATATCGAGTTCCTCATATGCCTAATTTGGGCTTAATTCCAGGCTGGGGTAAATCGTTACAACTCAGATGGAGTCAATAGGAGCACAGTGACTTACATCAGCTTTGTGTCAGTAAATACTGACAAGATTGATCTCAAACTTTTTCAGAACAAAAGATTTTCGAAGATGGATTAAACAACATAAATGCTGAGCTGTTTTGCCAGACTGCAAATGGCATAACACAAGCTTTGTGTGACATCTCTGAATTATCCCTTCGTGGTAATGTTGACATTACATGGTATTGACTCATGGAAGAAGCTTAAATACCCTTTTAAGTTTTCAAGACTCTTTGACAAAGCACTATTTCATTAACAAAATGTTAATGGAATCCAGGAAGCTTGACTCTACAGTACAGCCTGCTGCTTTCAAGAAGCTCTGACCAAGGGATGAGACTGCACAGAGCAATGTAATTCTTATTTTTAGGACAACAGAAAAGGAAGCAGGGCACTCATTGGTTGAGGGAGGAGGACCCAAGGGTACTTCCACAGTGCTCCACTGAAGGGCTACCACACCTTCTGCTGGAGAAGGTCAAAATAGCACAAATTAGCAAATACATCATACAGGGTAAACTGGGAGAGACAGCAGCGTTGGTGTTTGCTTGGAGATAAGGCTTCTTGCTTGTGAAAAGGAGAAAAACCTGGAAAGCATTCCAGAGGGAATACCTGATGTGGGGCCAGGTTTGGGAAAGGGTTATTATGTACCTCCAGCTAAAACGATTGGTTCCAAGTACCATGCTAATCAAAGGATCATTTAGGTCAGAAAACACCTCTAAGATCATTGAGTCCAACTGTTAATGACACAAATGGCTCTCAGATAAAGCACAGAGTTTATAATTGATGGGTTTACTGCTAGGAACAGACCTTGGCTTTCAGGTTCTTGATCTGACCCAGAGAAGGGACTCGATGGAGAGAAAGGGGCAGCACAGGTGGCCCAGGTGTCACCACCAGGACAACGGGGGGAAAGCCCTCTGTGGGGAGTCAGCAGCACACAGGAGATTGGTTTGCACCCCAGAACCTTTCCCCTGGGAAGAGCAGAGAGCAGGTTCCCCTCCCTCCTCCAGAGTGTTTGGGAACAACCACCCACAAATCTTTTCCCCAGTAACTCATAAATATTTCTGGCACTCGCTGCTCAGGACTGTGACATGGCCCCAGCACCTTTCCAACACTGAACTCCAGAGACACCACTTGTAAGTCAAATGAAAGGCGACAGACCTTCCCAAGAGTGAAGTTTACTCACACACTGAATATTCACATTTTCAAACTGAAGTTTTTCTGCTGATTTCTAGATCTGCAGTTGCTCTGTGTAATGAGGAAAGTTGTTATTAACCAAAGAGATTGGAAGGGAGGGGCAGGGAAATACTAAACCTCTGTCCATTTGCCTGCTTTCTGCATTTGACATCATTTTGTGTGCTAACAACTTCCACATTTCCTCTGTAGTTCATTTCATCTGTTCTGTGGACTCACATAAAGCAACAAGTGGAAGAAAATGATGTAAAAAAATGAAAAATGAATAAATTCAGCACTTAAATGCAACGCTTGACTGAGGTGTTCAAAGGCCACTTTGCTGCCTGAAACCACTTCTTTTCTTTTTTAAATTGTTTACATTTTGAGCTGATAAAATTCACAGCAGTAAAGATAACTTTGCCTGACTGCCCAGTAGAAGACACGATGAGAAGCTGTCTGGAAGGGGGGAAGGTCCCCAACCTACATTTTTATGCTTCCATGAAATTTAAATAAATAAACAAGAGAGCTGCATACACAAATAACAGCCTCAATCAAACACGGCAGAGCTCTGAAACACATCTGCACCGGGGCACTGGTGACTGGATTACAGGGGGGAGTGACCCAGGTGTTAATGAGCTAGGAGTGAGGGAGCCCCATGGGACTGCCCTGCACCCCTGCCATCACCTCCAGCACTGATGGGATCGGGACCAAAGACTGAAAAGGGAGATGGAGATCCTCTGACCTGTCTGAGTGATGGACAAAAGGCTTGTTCCCTGGCTGAAAACAGGCATTTTGGTGCAACAGCAAAACATCTCACACATCTACCCAACTCCTACATAACCAACAAGCGATGCTGATGTCACTACTGTCACCAGGTTAATTCTCTTCTTAACAGCCCTTTGCCCTCTTGGGTTTGTTTGCTTTCAGTGAAGTCAAATTCCCTGTGCCTCGAGAGGTGAACAACAGCCACAGTTTTAATTGCAGTCTGGTCCCCCAAAGAGAAGACAAACATCCCTGTAGAAAGGGATGAAAGATTTTGTGCCAGCAGATGATTCATCTTTCCAAATACCTGGCTGCTCTCAAAAGGAGAGGAGGAAAGCTGCACTGCCTCCAGGGTCTTGGCTGCACTGCACCTGTGCCAAGGAGCTGCAAATCCTCTGCTCAGGGGATTTGCTCCAGCACAAGGCAATCCCACCTCTCTGTTTCCCACCGAAACACAAGAGGCAAGTTCCTGGAGCACACACTTGACAGCAAACCAGCCCCTTGCCTGTCCTCCAGAATCCTTCTGCTGAGAGAGTTTCCTCAAAAACTTAGTGTAGCTAGCTGAAAGTCAAAGACTGAGGCTCTCCAAGGATAACCAGATGAAGTCCTGAAGGTTTGCTGGGGTAATAATGACCATACCAGAGCTCAACCTCCACACAGGATGGGTGCAGCCTATGAGCAGAGGATCCAGGTGAAATTCAGGGCTCCATCTTCCCAAGGGTATGGAAATTCAATAACCTAATAAAAGAGAAAGGGAGAACACATGGATCATTCCTCAATAACCCATTCCTGGATAATAGTGTAGGTTTCAGTATAAAACAATTTGAAGGACTGACAGAAAAATCCAAATTCAAGGGAACTCTGGGGAGAAAGACATTTTGATCTTGACTGCAAAGCGCAGCCCTCACTCAAGGACACTGAACTTTGTCATCTCCCTGGGGTCACGAATTTTCCACATGAATTAACAGACACCCATTGAGCTGCAGGACCAAGCAGGATTTTTCTCCTGGCTGAAGATCTGCCCCACGACATCCACATCCCACTGCCGGGACAGCATCTCCCACCCTCCAGATAGCGCTGGTCAGAGCCCTCTGTGAATAACCACTTTATAATGTGAGACACTTGCTATGCACTGGGTCACTGGTAGCAGGGTTGAGAAAGGGACATTCACATCTAAAATCACAAATCTCCATAGTCAAGGCTGAAAAAATGAGCTCTGTCTCAAAGGCTCTTACAGACCCAGGAGGAGGAACACGCTCAAAGAACAGATTGCTGCAGTTTGTTAGCAAAGGTTAGGGAAAGCTGGAAACCTTAAGGTCTTGCAAATCAATCTGTGCATTGCACAGCTTCTCCCCTTCCACAGCTGAGACAAATGTGGATTGTGTTTGCCGTGCGTTCAGAACAACCTGCAATCAAAATCTCTCGCTCTCACCGGAACAAGGCAACAACACTCCAGAGACACAGAGACAACTGGAAGGCAGAAGTTCTGCAGAAGGAGCATTTTGCTTCTAAAACTCCACTTCATCCCCCTCGTGATCACACAGATTTCTGTCGAGCCTTTACACTTATACCTGTTCTTTGTCTTCAGCTGCCACATTGAACCACAAGTGCTACCACTGTAAATTAAAAATAAAAAACCACATCAAAAAAGGCCCAAACAAAATCAACAACATTTGCAACTGCATTTACATAAAACTCACTGGACAAAACTGGCACTGCACAGTAGGATTTTTCTTTCCCATTCCTAGGAAGGAGTTGAGTTGAGCTGAGCTGAGCTTAGCTGAACTGGACTATTGCCCACCCACCCTCCAGCCCTTCAGGTGCCTCTCCCCAGCTGTTCCTCAAGGAGGACATTCCTTATTCCAAAAGAAAAACACCTGTGTACTACCAGACATTGTTGATTTTCTTGAGGTAAGAAGGTATTTACTGTCTCTGTGGGACAATTACAGGAATCATCCCTTTTTTTCATCTCTGGGTGGGTCTTTAAATCAAAGATTAAAGAACCGAGAAAAGATACACAAAAACTGATAATCCCAACGCATAGACCTTCCAATCATAAATACTTGTCATTCTAAGCATAATATGCAATCTTCAATACAGTGTTGTGTTTCAGGCCCATTTAGGTACCCTACAGAAATTACTTTAGGCCGCTGTTATTCCTAAAGAACTTCAGATGAGTTTGGATCCATCATCATTCATCATGTCAGCACCTCTACGCATAGTTACCCACACTTTGTCTGCTCGGGTTTATCTAATAGCTAGCCCTGGGTTTTATTAATTTCCAATGGTTTGCAGAAATTACAGAGTTCCTACTCTTTTTTTAGAACTTATATTTTAACTTATATCCATTTTCCATGAAAACCAAGCAGTGCTTCAAAGGCACGTTACCTCTTCTGGGGCTCCTACTCCCTTAAGCAGGGATCCCAAATCTTGCCTTGTTGTGGTTTGGATTTCTCTGATGTTTGTTTGCTGGGATTTAAACTTAAGGAGAAGCCTTTTTTTGGTGTTGTTGATAAATAGATTCCCAAGGGTGAACAACCCATTTTTAGGGGGGGGTAGGGAGGTTGGTGTCTTTCTCTTCTTGGATGTTCAGCAGCCTGAGTTGACTTAAAACATTTTACTCTTCAAACAGTTTTATATCTGTGGGGCTAGTGAGCATTCCTGTGTAAGCAGAGATAGAGGAAACCTGAATTTCCCTTGTCGTGATTCCCTTGCCCAGAGAAGCTGTGGCTGCCCCATCCCTGCAAGTGTCCAAGGCCAGGCTGGACGGGGCTTGGAGCCACCTGGTCTAGTGGAAGTTGTCCCTGCCCATGGCAGGGGGTGGAATGGGATGGTCTTTCAGGTCCCTTCTAACCCAAACCATTCTATTCTGATTTTGTGATGACTGAGGAAATAAATTCCCTTGTGTGCTATTGATATATATGTGAAGGTATACAGAATATCCACTTATCCAGCAGGCAGAAATCACATTTTAAATATACATTTTTGTGTTAAACCACTGTGATTTTAGTTTTTGTACTTTCAGTGAAAATCCCCACAGATCATTGTCAAAGCCACAATTGTTAATTTAACAGTTCTTCAGCAAAGAATGAAAAGGAAAAGCAGAACATGTACTTGTGTGTGTGTGTATATATATATATATATACACACAAAATATTGTATATGTTTCCTCCAGAATGTTACTATACTGTATTATATAGAGCACTTCTCTCCTCCTTGATGACTTTTTGCTCTGTAAAAGCTGTGTGAGAGGCACAGTGGAGGTGAGACAAGGCAGAAAGGCTGCCCTGGCCCCCAGAGCCCTGGCCATGGGGCACAGCCACCGTCCTGCGTGACAGTCACAGCACCAGTCCCACGAGCCAATGGTGCCAGGAAACAGCAGCACCTGCTCAGGATTTGGACCCCACTGGGGTGTCCTGGGGTCTGTGACTCCCCAAACCCTCCCTGACCCGTGGACACCCCTTAGCCCACCTTGGGTATCCCTGGAGCTGGAGCTCCTTTGCCCCCTGGCAGCTTCACAGGTACGGAGAGTCCTGGAGGTGGTTCCCATCTTCAGACTCTCCCTTTTGGAGCACTTCAGCCACCTGTTCAGCACAGCAAAATATCCAATCCATTTAATGAGGCTTCTGGTAAAATCCTTCCTTTGAAGTCCCTCAGACCGTGACAGCAATTAACTCCAGCCCCATCTTCACTGCTGTTGTTTTACCTCATCTCAGCCGAGATCAACAACATCACTGATGGTGCAAATTATTTCCCTGCATAAGCAGTGAGGGAATGTCTCACATCCAGCAGTCACTGTCAGCTGGCAAAGTGACCTGACTGCAATTACAGCCATCATGTGGGGTGTCTTCAGTGTCCCTGGGTTCCTGCAGGATTTCTAGTAATTTCTGTAGATTTAAGACTGCAAGGAAATTCATTGCATTTAGGACTGGCAGCATTTAGAGATGAACCTGCTGTAGGTGTAGGGGAGGTGGGTAAGGATGGCATCACAGCAGAACAAAGCACACAGATGGGCTCAGGAACTGTGGCTCCTCTTCACAAAACTGTCCCCAAGCTCATCCCATTCAGCATCACATGTTCATGTGGATACTCAGAAACTTTTCCCCAAGTGTACACAACGGGGATTATTTTCATTGCAAATTGTTTGTAACAATGCACATTAAAAAAGCCACTATGACATCAACTGGACTATAAATAATCTCAGTTTAAAAGGCAGAAGGATCTAACTGAAATATTAATTTCTCCACATTAGAAATGAGAGAAATAAGAAATGAGGGAGATCACAAGCAATAGACACACAACCGGAGGTAGCTATTTAAAACTGTCCTTGGAAGAAACTTTTTCAAGGTTTTCTATTTGTTTTATTTCTGTTTCTGGGATGGGGTTTTTTTTGTTGTTGGTCTTTTTATTATCATTATTTGCTTTTTTTATTAGTATTTGCTTTGGGTTTTGTTTTTAAAGCGAGCGAGAATAAGGATAAAAGGAAACTAATTCCCCACTAAAGGGCCTCCTGCGGCCGGAGTGGGATGACCTGCTGGCTCCATAACCTCTGCCAGGGGAGGGGTGTCAGCACACACAGCCCCTCCAAGCAGCTCCAGACAACAATGGCAGCACAGGGAAAACAAAACAGGATCCCAATCCTTCCCCTGGTCTGCCTGAGGACAACACCTACACCTTAAATCCATTGGCCGAGGTGGTGTTTCCCAAGCCCTGAGGGCAGAACACACCACAGGCACAGCCTGGAATTCCTGCTCTGTGAGGAATTCCAGTATTTTCCCCAGTCCAGAAGGCAAAAAGATTCTTATAAGATCTGAAAGATGCTTAAAAAAGATTTTGGTAAAACTGAATTTGTGCAAACATTTTATGAGACAGTTATATTTTAATAATAGGCAGTGGCAGGCTGAAAATGGTAAAATTGCCCTATGATAAAAAAAAAATAAGCCAAAGCATATGGGAAACATGAAAAGAATGAATGAATGAATTAATTAAAATGAATCCTGTACAAATTAAACCATTTCAGCATCACCAAAATGAAACACTTCAAGGTTATACCAACAGAGGTGAACGTCAGGTGATGCGTCAGAACATGTTTTCGCTCAGAAATTATTATAATCAAGAAAATTCCAGTTCCAAATTTCATTTTTGTTCTGACTGGATTTTGGATTCTGAGCTGTTTGCACGTGTTTTGACCCCCTACACCCAAGAAAATTGCTGCCATCCCGACCTCTCCTGCAAGGGTGGTGCAGCTAAATGGAAGAACGTTACTGATTCTTTCTGAAGGAAAGCCTAAAACCTGTATTTTCTATAAAACTGGTGGCTTTGGCTTATTTCTCAGCAATAAAAAATGCCTTAAGGAGAGGTAAAGCAAAGCTATTGTTACCAAGACTTTCTTACTGTAAGAACCCATCCTACAGTGCATTTCCTGGTACGCTCTGAAATACCATAAATCATTCTGACAACGTGATACTTGTCAAAATAAAGGCAGAAAATACGTCTTGGAATAAAATATCCTCAATCATATTTATTTGTTTGCTCACTCGTGCCATTTGGCTCCTCTCAGTGGGTTTCCCAATCGTTAGGGTGAATTAGTGAGATTCTGCTGGAAAAAAAAACCAGCCCCATGTGCATATTCACGGGCTCACACACACGGAATATCTGCCCATGGCACCGAACACCCAGGCAAGAGAACAGAAAATTAGAAAGCTTGCAAAGGACACTTCAGTTTTCCTGCTATTTTTCCCTCCCCCCCATCTTTTCCAGCTTTTTTTTTTTTTTTTTTCCCCCCCATCCCCCTCACCAAATATTTCCCTAATGCTCGATGGTGGTTTGGTTTAAGGGAGTCCTGCCTGGAAAGCTCCTTCAGCTGCTCAGCCCAACAGCATAAATTTGATCTCGTAATTAGTATTCAGCTCAGCATCTTGGATAGAAACCAATGTTACAGCCAAGAGGTGGTTTAAATCACATAAATCATAGATCAATGACAGAACTCTAAGCACTGGATAGATTACAAAAGTAAGCTTTAGTTAAAAATAGATTAACCATTTCCCTGCAGGAATTCCTTCAAAAAAGCCCTGAATATAAAACAAATAAAATTAAATCTGATAATTTTTTTCCTAATGTATGCATATACTAGATGAATTGTTCTTTCCCTTGACAGTTACACACTGATTAAAGAAATGTGTTAACATGCTATTTCAATGGAAAATATTGTAAATTGTGGGGACTTTAATTTTTTTAATGAGCCTCTAATAGCCAAAAAGCAACGTTGTGTACAGATAGGTTTATAGCACATCACAGCAGCTAACAGATACTTCTGCAGTTGCTGTTTTTGTAAAAAGGGCAAAAATCATTCCCCAAGCCAAGAAAAATGTTTTTGAGAAGTGTTTTTAAAGTATTTTGTGTTTTGAATTTTAGCTAATGAAGCTCCCAGTCGTAAGAAGCATCACAAGCCATCAGTTATCCTGATTTAGGCACCCGTGGGGGTAATCAGCATCTTGCAGGATTGAGCCCCAAGATCCCCAAACTGTTAAAAGTTCAGGGGAAGAGGAAATATGGGGCTGAATCTCTTCCCCCTGACTAAAGGATGAAGGAGGGTTTGGCTCCTGCAAGGAAATTCTCTGTTGGTGTAGACCAGTTACACCAAACTGGGGTGCACCAGAGGACACAGAGTCTGTCAGCCAGGAATCTCCTCTGCAGCCTGAGAATCTAAATTAAAAATATAAATTTAAAGGATGTTCTCGCTCCTGTACATTGCACTGTGATTGCCTCCCATGAGGTCACACATCATTCAAAAGAAGAAAAAAAGGAAGAAAAAAAAAACCAAACTAAAAAAACCCCCAACTTTGCAGCATCTGAAGGCCAATTTGCATGTCTGTTTTCTGAGCTGCAGAGCTGAAAGCCAGAAATGCCTGAGCAGCACCTCAGCCTCTCCTCAGGCCGGGCAAGGGCAGATTCCAAGCCATCAGTGGCTGGAATAACGGGCTCGGATTCCTCCCGGGGACACACAGGGGCTGAGGCAGCTCCAGCCACAGCAAAGAGAGGAGAAACAGCCTGAGCATCAGGCACAAATCCTGCCACCTCCTCCACCCTTTTACAACCTTCAAATCCACCTTCGAATTAGTGAGTAAATAATCAAAGTGAGAGAAATCCCATATTGCCTATCCCTGGACTAACAATTGTGATTATTTTGATTAATTATGATTAAATGCAGACCTGAAAATAACAGTGATTCACCCCAATAAAAAGTTGCACAATTCTTGAACTGGTAAATAACTGTTATAGCCACAATACAACGAATTCAAACTTCCTGAACACCGACATCTGCTTGTACATTTAACTTTCTACAGATGACAAAAACATGAGTATAATTGCTGTTGCCATATCTAGAATTTAAAAAAAAAAGAAAAAGGAATACCATTCCTAGAGATGTTCCCATTTGTTTTCAAACACTCCAGCTCCATCAAAAAGAACATCTTTAAACTTTTAGTGCTTAATGGAAACGACTACTTTCGATTTCCAAGGATTTTTTTTTTCCCCCGTCAGAAGAAATAAAACAGCGAGCTGCTCGATGGCGATTTGAGCAACAACACTGAGATTTCCAAAGTGCCTCCCTGTGTGATAGAAGACTGCAATATATGCAATCAAGAGATAGATTCAAACAATAATAACTAGCAGAGGCTCCAGGCGTTGCAGAACGTGTCATTTACTTCAGACCCGTTCCTTGAGACATCAGCCCTGCAAGTAGTTCAGTGGAAAATAGATGGGACTGCTCCTGGAAGTACAGGCTGTTCGTGCAGGGAAGTTTTCAAAGGCTCTGCATTTTCTAAAGTGCTGAAAAATGCATATCAAGTTTAGTAAAACTAAAGAAGAAGAGAAAAAAGAAGGTGGGGGGGGGGGAAGGGAAAAAAGGATCTCTTGTAAAACACCAAATTGTCAGAGAGATGTCAGGGTTAATTTTTAAAGGCATATTTCCCTCCAGCAACAATTCTCTTTAATTATTTCAATATGAAACACATTATCAGACATGTTCCTTCTCTGTTCTCAGCTCCCTGACACAAGATAGGTACAAGATGTTAAATCTCTGCCGATGCTCACACACGTTGGCTGGGCAGCTCCTGCTGCACCTACAGCCTCCACCTTCCTCTACCAAACTTTTGGGGCCACCTGCCCACAGTCACAGCACCAAAAAACAGGGCAGGAGGTGGTTGAGGGACAGCCCCAGCATTTCAGAGGGTGGCCCTCAACACATACAGGGGCACCAAGAGCCGCATGGAGCACACACTGGTTTAAAAGTTATAAACACAACACACCTGACAACCTTCCAGCATGTTTAAGTGGAAATTCACCCAGATTTAGGTGTGGGTTTTTTTTTTTTTTTACTTAGAGGTCCAACAGTCATGTAGAATAGATTGTACAGAACAGGCAAAGTCCAGTGAGGAAGCTCCTGGAGTGCCACAGCACAACGAGCTGCTGCAGGACACGGTCACGTCACACACTTCTTCAGGAACTTATGAGAAACACTTTATGTTCCTCCCAAGTGGTAAAGGACAGTGCCCAGAGACCCAAAGGAAAATATCAGCCCAAA